AAGTTTTATGTGTCTTATGTGCCAGGCTTTATGGATTGAATATAATTGCAGCGAGTAAGACAAGTCTCCATCTTTAAATGATGTGTGCTCTAGAGAATATGAAGAAAATATGTGATTCCAGATTGTTGAATCCTATAAAGAAAAATAAGTCAGGGTGCAGGGAATAAGTTATAAAGGGTGGACTATTTTAGATAGTGTGTTCTCCTATATGAGGTCACCCTGGAGAACTGAACCGAATAAAGAAGTCAAGGTGTGAAGGGCCAATGAGTGTTTCCAGCAGAGTCCCTGAAGCAGGAAGGAACTTGGAGTACTGGCGAATCAGCAAGAAGGCAAGCATGGAGAGCAGAAAGAGCTGCACAAAGAATGGTGGAAATGAAGCTATCAGGCAGCACATGCAGGGCCTGATAGAACATGGCGAGGCATGTGGTTTTGTGCTGACTGTGGCCACTGATGGATTCTGAACAGAAGGACAAGAACTGCTTAGCATTCTATGGAGACAGCTGCTTGGTTCTTCTACGGAAAACTGTCTTGTTTCAGGTGCAAGGAGGAGAAAAGGCCAGTTTGGAGACTACTGGTGGTATCTAGATGTTTGGGATGGTGGGTGGCATGGGGGTATAGGTAGGGGAAAGGCAGGAGTTGATTCACCAGGAATATATTTTGAAAGAAGGACGTATAGGCCCAACTGACAGGTTGGACATGGATATGAAGCAAAGAGAATGGTCAAACATGACTCCTAGTTGTGGACCTGAGCAGAAGAAGCTATTGACTGAGATGGAAAAGAAAAAGGAACCAGTTTGAGGAGGAGAATACAAGAGTTCTGTTTTCCATGTGTTAAGTTAGAAATCCTTAATGGAATTTCACATGGAGATATAAAAAAAGCAGATGGACAGATATGGCGAGACCGAAGTCAAGGAAGAGAGAAGGCATTTGAAGCAAGGGGTGATCCGAGGTCCCCTAGAAAAGACGTGGTGAACACAGCCATGGGCTGAACCCTGAAAAACGGCAACTTTTGGAGACTATGAAGAGGCAACAAAGCACGTTTTTTATTTTCGCGGCTCTTCCTCTAAAAGCAGTTGGAATATCTTTATGTCTCCAGACTACAAAGTCCATGGCCGGCCATCCGAATCCGCTTCTAAAACCAACTCTCGGAGGCATGCATCGAGTCTATTTCTGACTCCTGACCTGGTCTCTGTGTCTGGAGAGCTGCCTTTCACTTGTCAGCTGCTCAACGACACAGCCCAGGCCTTTGGCCTCTGTCCTAGTTCCTGGATCCAAGTTCTCTAACAACTCTCCTTGCCCAACACTGACCAGAAAGCACACTGAGACCATGTCTCCGAGGGCTGCCAACACTCATTGGCATGTGATCAATGAAGCACACAATGAAGGAGTGTTGAGCAATTAATTGGGTGACAGAGAACAAGTGGCATGTCTGATTCAATCTCGGGGCAGCTTTGGGGACCTGTAGAACAAGTCAGAGCAAGGCTGGAACAGGAGATGTTACTCCAGGCTAGTCACCCTAGGAAAGCCTGTTCCAGGTAATCCCAAGGGTCTTCAGACACCTTTTTACCCGTAAAAAGGGGAGAAATTTGAGGTTGATCACATGCTCATGAAGTTAACATTTTCTGGAGCCTGCTAGCAGGATGAACTACACTACAGGCATTGCACTGGTTCCTTCTGTCCCATACTCGCTAGACTGTTCTCCCAGCCTCAGCTATGAAGGGGGAATTCCAGCCATCTCCTAAGAGTTTGTGAAAATTCATGAGCTCATGTACTTAAAGTGCTGCACAAAAGTGCTTGCCACATGTGACCCAGTACCATTTACACTTCAAATATCCCATTCCACCAAGGCCCAGCAAATTCTGTCTCACAGCGGCCAAGTCGACTATACATACAAATGAGTCAGTTGGATGGTAAATATATTTCTAAAAATACCACTTTTCATGATTTCCTAGAAGAATAACAGTTATATGTTTTGGGGAACTATCACTGGATCGATGGACTTTGAGCTTTACCTGGGGAAAAAAATTTCACCCCTTTTTCTAAATTTCTTTATCAAGATGAGCCCAACATGTGACATACGCATGTAAGAAGTAGAAATATAAATGCAGTTAACATTAAGATTGCGAACAACAATTATGAATAAAGATGATCAAGAAAAACAAATCTCTAAACGTAATAACTATTTTTTAAACAGAGATGGGTCTGAGGCTTTCCATGCCTACTTTCCTTCATGAAACATACGTTTAACTCAAGTCACCAAAGTTAGCAAAACAAGTAGAAAAGCAAGCATGGCTCTTTTGTTTTTATTGATGAAAAGTTACACATGGACTGTTGTTGCTCTCAGGAGCCGTGCTGGTTAGTCCGTTCCCACTCACGGCAACCCGGTGTTCAGCAACGCTGACCACCACCCGCCTCACAATGGTTGTGCTTGGACCCCGTGTTGCAGCCACGGTGTCAGCCCATCTCGCTGAGGACCTTCCTCCTTTTCATCAGCCCTCCCCGTTACCAAGCATGATGTCCTGCCCCAGAACCCGTTTCTCCTGAGACCATGCGCGGAGTCCATGAGGCGCAGCCTCGCCGACCGCTCTTCTAGGGAACATTCTGGCTGTACTTCTAAGAGGCGTTCGTTTGCTTTCCTGGCGGTGCAGCACCATCATCCAAATACATATGACAGTTTTCGTCAGCTACAGTTGCTTTCCTTTCTCTTTTTAATCTTTGCAAGAAACTTAAAGGCGGTGTCATGCTGGAGAATGGTATAGAAATTGAGCACTTCTGTTCCCCGATGGCAATCCATCCTGCAGCTACAGGAACGGCTGTTGAGCGAAGGACATCTGTACTCTTCAGCCATCGAGCAAGTAGGTCTCGCATTCGATAGGGAGACTCACGCTGGTGTGACGGATAGAGCTACGCCCCAGCTCCCGTTGTCTTGCACTGGCTCTGACTCATAGCGACCCCACAGGACAAGCAGGACTACCCCTCAGTCTTCCATCTTTATGGAAGCAGGCTGCCAGATCTTTTCCCTGCAAAGTGGTCGCTGGGTGTGAAACGTCAACTTTTTCCTGAGCAGGGCTTTAAAACTACACTTAAAACAAAAAAGAAGAAGAAGAAAGAAAAAGAATCTGACTCATAATAACCTTCAAGTCCAGAGCCCCGAGACACATCACTGGTATGTTTGCCTCTAAGCAGTACCGTGAAGAAAACAGTCCCCTGGGAGCCACTATCAAATCGTGTGGAACTAAACTGCCACAGAGACACACGTGGAAAAGAAGGCCGGCAGCTGCGCAGGAGGAGATGTTCAGGAACAGACTGATGTCGAAACACACAAACCCAGGCTTCCTACGAATGGAAAACATCAACCCAGAGCCACTTCTTTGCCTTCACCTCTATTTCGTAATATCTGGATTTTCTTTTTGGAGGTCATTACTCATTTTAATTAAAAAAAAACAACAAAACTATTGCACAGAAAAGCTACTTCTAAATGATATGATGTTCAAATAATCTGTGTGTGTTTTACATCTTTTTTCCAGGAAAGGGTTAGATCTTCAGAGAAGTTGCAAAGATCGTCCAGCATTCCTTAATCTGCTGCATTCAGTTCCCCCAGTGTAACCATCTGACGTCCACACGCACATTTGTTAAAACTAAAAATGACCACTGGCACAATGCTATAGGCATCATGCTTCACATTACAACATTGCACAGATATTGCACTTTTTACAAACTGAAGATTGGGGTGTGCGCCACACAAGTCTCTTGGCATCATTTCTGCAGTACACGTGGCTCACTGTGTGTGTCTCTGTCACATGTTGGTAACTATCACAATCTTGCAAAATTTTTCGTAATGCTACTGCACATTTAATAGACCACCAAAACCCAAACCAAACAATCCCACAGCTGAATCGATTCCAACCTAACCGTAAGCCTGGATGGAGCAGACAGCGCCCACCATTCCCGGCGAGTGGCTGCTGGGTTGGATCCACCACTCTCGAGTTAGCAGTCCCGTGCTTTGCTGACAGCTACAGTGTGATGTAAGCACTGCGTGTACAGAGAAGCCAAGGAAGCATGTGCGACTTGATTGCAATACCACTTTATTGTAGTGGTCTTTGGTCCATACCCACAATATGCCTGCATCTACTTTCCTTGAATTTTACAGTTTTACACGAATGTCCTTTTTCAGTTCTGGGATACTACCCAGGTACAGCAATAGAAACCCACCACAATTAACCCACCACAAGTGTAACCATATTGTATTAATTACCCCAAGTATAGTCTTTGTGTACTGACCGAAGTACGGCCACATTGCAAATCCTGTAATTCCTCTCAAAACTGCTGTTTTCTGTAACTGCTGAGCAATCGCCATTTATTTTTGAAATTGCTGGTAAGTGTCTAAACCCCCGCTCTAAGTTCCCCTTAATTTCCCCATCCATTGAGTCCTCCCTCTGCCCCCTCTGCCTTTGTATCCAAATTCCCCATTTCTCCATACAATGTCACGCCACCCAGACCCCTATGTCTTGTTTTCTCCCCCATATAAAAACCTCCCACTTTGAGCCCTGAGGGTCTTGGGAGAATTAGGCTCTAGCCGCCCCAAGACCAGGCTAATAAAGGCTTACTACCTGTGATTAAAGTAATGTGTGGATTAATTGATCTCATTCCAGCACAACACTACACTGAATTAAATTATTTTCATTTAATGCTTCAGTTTGGGTACATGTCATACTCCTTTGTCTTATTAAGCAACATCGCCATTATTACTGTTATGGAAAATAAATCCGAAGTTCCCTGAAAAGTATGATTTACTGGATTGTTAGAGAAGTATTACATGAAAATTAATACACACATATTTCCACTAATATTTTACTGAAGAAGTGAGTCACTTAATAAGATATGCTCCAGTACCAACTTTGTTAGGAATTGTGAGATTAAATGACTCAGTGTTTTAAGAATACATTTTCTTTTTTTTTTTTTTTTCAAAAATACTTTTTCAAAAAAATATTGTCACTCACGTATCTCTGTAGGCCCCCATAAAGATACACGGCAAATCCTTTTAATTAATTCTGTAACAGAATAAAGAGTTTTATTATAATCATATTCAGATAGCCATTATTGAATACACATTAAAAACGGCTTGCCTTTCATGGTCAACTTTTATTTTTAATTACTATATGATATTTTATATATCATAGTCTTTAGTTTCAAGATGAAGGCATATATAACTCAACAAAAGTTTTAAGAATAGAAAATGTCCCAGAAAAAAAAAAAGCCACATTGAATAAAATTGACTAAGAAGAATGCTTCCCATTCATTTCCACATGTTTAATGTGGTAGAAATTACTAAGTGGTCACAAGCAAGCGAATCAGGTGGAAGGCAGGCAGTCTTTTTGACAGGAAGTTGGTCATCGAGAGCAAAACTTTGAAAGTTCATGATGTACAACACGAAACACCGGCATTGCTCTAAATTCTGTCAAGAGCCAGTTAAAAGTTCAACAAAAAGAGGTAAAATATGTGGTGGAGGGCGAGAAAAAGAGTTGATATGAAGGGCTCAAGTAGAAAGAATATATTTTGAAAATGATGATGTGTAAATTTGCGTGAAACAATTGATGTGTGGATTGTTACAATAGCTGTAAGAGCCCCCGATAAAATGATTTACATATGTATAGAAACGGTAAAATATGAATGCAAATTGGGTGGTGGGTCACAGAATCATAGTGATATCAATATTCTTACCAATAAATTTTTAAGTGAACTTGGTGTTGGATGATGCATAATTCATAACTCAAAACAGAAGTACACATCATTTATAAGTGAATCTACGAAATCTGTGATGGACTCCCCTGCCTGACGTCACCGAGTGGCTTCCCTCTCAAACCCTGAGGGTTCCCGAGACTGTAATCCTTTACAGGAGCAGGAAGCCTCGCCTTTTCCTGAGGAGCAGCTGGTGGTTTCGAACTGGTGATCTTGCATTCAGTGGCCCAACAGGCAACCACTACACCACCAGCACTTCTACTATGTATGGGAGGCTACCAAATGTATAAAAATTTACACTTGTTGAAAAAAAAAAACTGACCTAAAATATTTCTATCACCAAAATGTAAATGTTAAGAATACATTAGTACGGCAGCACATCACCGTTCTCTCTCTACCTAGCATGAGGTCAGCTTCAGAGGTCTCGGATCCGCTAAGACAACCTCTGTAAAATGATCGTCACTGGACTTTGGGGCAGGTGATCGTGCTGAATCTTGGCTGCATTTCTTCCCAAATCAGCCGGAAGCTTTAATTCATGAGCTTACTGAACGGAGCACCCGAAATGTCGATTTGAGACACGTCTTGTCGACTGCAGTGACTGGACGCGAAGCTTGCGAGGCTGAGGCAGGAAGGGTAGACAGAACAAGTGCAGAGATGAGCGCACCGTGGTGGCACTTACAACTGTCTGGTTTTGGGATCAGACTTGTTTAATCGAGAGCCTGACTTGGGGTTTTTTTCTTTTACTTAGATAAATTTATATTACGTACCAGAAGGAAATGAACTTGAGATCGCCCACAGTGTAGCAGCACCTACATTCGGCAGAATGTTCAACAGATCTGAAGACAAGACACAGCTCATTTGACAAGCTTTGTGCTCCGGAAACCGTATTAAGCACAGGAACCCAGATTAGAGTGAAAGGGCAAAACCAGCAGAGGGCCATGGGCTGTAATATTTACGTATTAAATGATGAAAAATTTTTTAGAATAACCTCAATTCAATAGAACTTGCTGTAAACTTACCAGGCACCTCAGGGACCTATCCTGAGATTACACTCTCAATTTAAAATATGATGAGTTACACAGAAGTAGCAACTGTTGAAAGAGCCAACGATTTCAAATTGAGTGCCCATAAAATTGTAAGCTTTGAAAAAGATGACACTTTTATGAAATAAGATAGCATAGCCATGCTTTAAAAATACTGTTTATTTTCAGAAAGAATGCAGATGAATATCAGGTGCAAAGAATGACTAAGAAACTGAATAATGCACATGAATTTTTTTCAACAAGAATTCTATTAATGTTCTTTTTAATACTGTATAGAGAAAATGAACATAAAGCAGTTGGTTTTATTTTAGTATATGTGTATATGCTAATGTTAGAAATAAATGTAATTTTAAAGTAATTATTTTATTTTTATTTTTTTCTAATTGTGGTTGGAATAGTTTGACTGGCATATAATTTCTTAGTAGGATCATTTTATAGATTCTTGAATATGATCAATATAATATGATAAAAACATTTCAGTCAAAAAGCATAAAATTAGGTTTATACAGATATATATCTCAAAATAGATATGCATATATGTGTACAATATTTATATATGTATATTGATAAAATACATATGCATATGTGTATGTAATATATGTGTGGTATACATATTCCTTATACACAAGTAAACCCTAGTTGGAGCATTAACCTCGGTAGAAGGGATTTAAAGTATCAAGGAGCTCTACCAATGGTGAGTGCTCACTGGAAAAAATGGAAAGTAAGAGAATGTTTTCTTTTAGGAAGTATGCAATTAAATTAATATCACTATAATAGATACTAATACTAGAACCCCAGAATCAAGGGCTGCACACTTTTGACACCAGAATGACACCATATAACTCAGCAACCTAGATCCTTGTGGTAGTTATATAATCATTGTCGATTTGGGAGGATTAAGAGTGAAGGGGTCAATCAGGTCATAGCCAATGAGGCCTCTGTGTGGGCATGGCCCTCTCCTGAGGATTCTGGGAACTCCTGTATTCCTCTATGGAGGCAGGAGACACTCTCTCTCTGCTCACTCCATGGGGGACATTGCAGCTGACAAGACACATGGAGCTATGCTAGTGCCCTGAGCTGGAGGAGCCACGTGGAGACCCTGCCAGCACTGGATCCACAAGACTTTCCACCCACTGGCCTGTGATTGTCCTGCATTCAGTATCATTGCATGTGTTTCATGAGTCTGAAGAGGACTTTATAGATTGATATCAGACATAAGGGCTAATATTGAACTTATGGACTTGATCTGGACTGGGCTAGGATATTTTCTCAATATTCAATTGCTCTTGTATACAAAGCTCTATCTTACACACGAGTGTCTCTATGAATTTGTTTCTCTAGTCAACCCAGACTAAAACAATCCTTAACTTGCAGAAAACAGGGGTGTCTTACTCCTCCTCTTTGTGCCCCCCTTTCTAGTGAAATAACCTGACATCAAGGCAGAGGGTGTTTTTAAATGTTGCTAACAAACTGAAGTCTCAAAGTAGATGACCAGTCTTAATGCTGTTGTGATGGGAAATATTTCTTTTAATATTCCCAGCAAACATACTGGTGGTAGTACTAGTGCTGTCATCATGGCACTGATGTATAAACACAGAGTAAGATAAATGAGGGGGTATAGTACGTATAACCAAAGATACTGAACCGGATCTAGTCTCTGGATGCAACTGCCATTTTGTAGGAAAGACAGCGGTTACCCCTGCCTTCAGCCCTGCTGGCCACAAAGTTGGGACCAGGGCCTGCTCCCCATTCAGGACGTCAGCGCCAGCCAAGGAGTCCTCATGGCACCTATCCTCTCTGACCTGCTGGCTTCTACTGCCCTTAAGAAGTCAACAATTTGCTAGACTGCTGTAACAGGATTCACAGAGCGGGTACCATACTCACAACGACCGGTTTATCAGAGCTAAAAAGGATACCAACACAGAGATGCACAGGGCGAGTTCTGGGCGGGTTCCCAACTCACAGCTTGCTTGTATTCAGGGACATGCTGCCCTCTCCAAAGCAGATTTTTTCACAAGCCAGGAAATCCTGTGAGCTTTCCTGTTTGAAGTCTTTATCGGCTTCAACACTGGTCAGGAAAGATTATACTATGTACCTGAAGCAAATCAGTATTAGTCCACCAGGTGGGCTCCTCTTGGTTTGACCAGTCCCCACACATTAGTCTAAGGTGTGGTCCAGCTCTTAGGAACCAAGAACAAAGCCTACATTGTTTTCCATGTCTCACGGAAAAACGTATCAGAAATACACCCTTATATCTATGGACAGTTGCTTTTCAACAAGGGTGCCAGGCCAAACAATTCAATGGAGCAAGAGTAGTCTTTTCAAGAAATGATGGCAACGTAACAAGTAATCCACACGAAGTCGAACCTCTTCTTTTTATAGACACAAAAATAAACTCAAAACAGACTTCAATGTATGGGCAAAAACTATAAATTCTTAGAACACAGTAGAGGAGTAAATCTTTCTGACCTTGAGTTAAGGAATAGTTTCTTAGATATGACAACAAACAAGGAAAACGTAGATTAATTTAAACCATTTGAAGTGGTAGCCCAGGGCAGAGACACTCGATGACATCAGGCTAGTATTTTAAAGCAAAGCAAAGCAAAACACACTCTTAGAAAAGTATGAGGGGTGTCTGAGATTGGAGGCATGAACAGCACTGCCTTAGAGGTCATTCCAGCAGTACAGGTTGGAAGGAAAGGGCTCACAGTGCAGCAGACAGTGATGCTGGAGAGGAAAGCAAGGAGTATTCAGAGAAGGGAACAACAGATAAGGAGATGCAGAGAAGGAGAAATACATATTAAAGAACCAGGGTGAGCTCCAGGTTTCATCCTTGAAAAAAAGAAAGAGTCCTTTATCAGTGAAAGTACAGAAGGAATAAGAGGTTCTGGTTTCAATGGTCATTTTGAGTTTTGACATTTGTAAAGTTCATAAAATCAATAATCGCAAATGACCCATAGGGCCAGAGTTAAGCTCAAACCTCTGATTTGCTGAATTAAAACTCTCGGGTTGAGGTTGAGTGGTCTATGTTTTAATTCCCCTCTAGGTAATTTTGGTGCCTGGTGGTGTAGTGGTTATGAGTTGGGCTGTGGTCTGCGTGGTCGGAAGTTCGAAACCACCAGCAGCTCCTTGAGCAAAGGACTGAGCTTTCTACTCTGTCAATAGTTACAGTCTCGGAAACCTACAGGGGGTCACTATGAGTCCGCACTGACTTGATGGCAGTGAGTTTGGTTTAGGATGGTTTGGGTTGGAGGTGATTTTGGAGGGAG